TACGGGATCTAGGTACAAATATAACCTGAGAATTTATAATCACACTTCTTGATGTTCAACACTGCTCTATTTACACAGTTATGTAACACAATGGCTATTCTTTCTGTTTTTGCATCAGTAAGAGGGAAAAGAAAGGCGATCTGCGTCAATTCAAAACTCAAGCTCCTTATCGCATGCTATAGCCCTGTATTAATGTTACAAACATAAACCTGTTTTAATAGCTGCAGGATTTAAATTTGATCTAATGCCCACAAAGTGTTAGGCCTAAATCTACTGCCTGAAAAAGTCACAGTGGCACTCACTCCTTTTGTCGTGCTTGCGGTGCTCTGTATCTCCTTTCATGCTGTAGTCCAGTTTCATTAGGATTGGCTCCAAGCCTGTGTACATCCTCTGGATCAGTTCGTGGTACACCACTAACGGCCACAACAGCACGCTCAGGACTGAACAGGTGCACAGAGAAAACATTGACAACTTTATACTGCACTTATTCTTCACGAATATCAAAGCAAGATACTGCAGATGCACACAAGAGTGTATGCAAAAAAGGCTGATTTTGTAATGAGGATCATGTTATATCCACTTACTACAAACTATTAAAATACAAACATGACCTATTAGATAGAAATTAACCTGCACCAACAGGAATCCTGAGTTTATAAATGCATCAACAAGGAATCCACAAGCAAATGTAATTACTCCATCGAGTGCTATTACTACCTATTATCACACACACTCTGTTTATCATGAAAAGCACATATCCAATGGGAATAAAGGGCTTTGCATGACAGTTTTTGTGAATATGTCAATTAGGGAAGAGGTGACTCACCTATAATATAGGAGATCATGATTCCTGGTACATAATGTCCAACCATGGCAAGTACAAAACAGCCACTGCACATCATCACACAGAACTGGGAAAAAGACCATGTAAGAGAAATTAAGGCTTCCACATCTTTACGCTGAAAGTGTACAATATAAGGAAGTGAAAAAGTGGCATCTCTGCAGCTGTGGGGTGTCTTGGTGTATGATAGAAGAGAATGTCTGGGTGAGTTCCTGCTACTGCAGCACCTGCTGAGATCCGACAGATTGTATCACACTTTATAGATTCACGTTCTTTCAATGATGTTTTCAGTCTGCAGGTAAACTAAAAACACGCATCTACGTTATTTGTCATTTATTCAGCCATAGCATTAGTAATGTTGACTTTTACATACAGTATTTGGCCATGTCTGCTTACAATGACCTGCACAAGGCTGATAAAGGAATCAAGACACCAGATAGCCTGAATGTAAATAGAGATACAAAGGCTTTTACAATAAACGAAATCAGATATCTGAACAAGGCACATTATTACAATTCTCTCTCATCTGCTAGTACACTCGTAAAGATCTTTAGTCAGTGAAACGCACATTTGTTAATTCACCTCGTCTTTATTTTCTGTAGATTAAAAGGTGAATTCGCAATTGCACCGTTTAATCAAAAATACAAACGTGTAAGGTGTCTGAAATGTCACATAATTCCAGTGCATTTCTTTCCTTGTGTTTCAATGGGCGGAGTCGGAGTGCCGTACCTTGCCATGGTTCTGTCTTTTGTACTGCAGCATCTCCTGCAGGTACAGGCAGCAGGTCAGGTAGCTCTCCGCAAGGTGGTGGCTGAGCTCAGGAATACTGAGCAGACGCTGCTCCCCGCTCATTGTTTCACTGCACGCAAACAAGAATACACACAACACCAAACACAAGAAGACAGTGAGAAACACAACACTTGTAAAGTGTACTTAAAAGTACTTCAGGCTATATTTAAATGATTCAAGAAAGGAGGTAGTGTAGGTTTGTGTAATGATAGTGCGGGGAGGGAGACACACACAGAGTTGAACACAAATACAACAGACTACACTAGACCAGTAGCCTGTAATTAATTCTGATGATATGGTGTGACATGTGAGGAAAATATTATTAACATAAAGACAAGACTTCTCGCTGTAACAGATGCTCATATTCTAAAGCAAGAATATGAAGAAAATGTAACAAGCAATCTGTTTATCATGTACATACTACACACCTTTGTACAGTTTGAGCCTCTGCATGTTGAACTGCGGCAGGAGAAAAAACACAATTAGCAGCAGATTGTGAACAAAAAATGAGACCATGGAGCCTCAAATGAAGGTGAAATTATTCTTTTACAAGTTTAGTTTTTAAGGTTTGTGCTTGTGGGCCTTGGTGCATAAAAAAGTGTATTTTACATTTGATATGATGTAGTGTGTTTGACTACATGGTTGCTGAAAAATCAAGCTATCCTATACTGGTTGCGTTAACCTTAACTCGATTAGAAAGTAAGATTTCTTTGAGTTACATATTTGCATGAGGATTTCCCACCTTGACAAGCCCTGCAGTAAAAATAATATTTGTAAAATCTCACAAATATTAGTATGACAGTGAACCACCTTTGGTGAATAGTCAAGAACTGTCAGCAGCTTCAGACTAATAGCACCATGGTATTGGCAGTGAAAACTCCTCCTGACTTAAAGATGATTTTGATAGTATCATTACTCAATTAACAATTTGATGTCTCCCTTGGAAACCAGACACTGTACCAGGATGGTATTAATGCAAGTTGAATAAAAGTATTTAAAAATATGTCTTTTAAACACACACAGTGTAAACACTGACAGTCGTAGTAGCAGGCTTCTCCATCCAGTGAAGATACTGTGCTCCACAAATATAGATTTTAATTGGCTCAGCAACAGAGAACATTTGCTTTGACAAAGCCTGATGACCAGATTATATTCCATAAAGGCCTGGGCTTACCAGTAATGATGGGCAACTTGGACTTCCATCTCTCCAGTAGCATTAGTCCCAGCAGGGACACACTCAACAGGAACAGAGGTCGCAGGGAGGTTGATGACAGGAGCCTGTGGAGACACAGAAAAACAGCCTACCAGTTGACTTATGTCCAACATATAAACATATAATATAATAAACATACAAACAAACATCAGGAAAATCACTTCCAAATTAGACTTAATAAATAAAATCTACATCTGCACCTGTAAATTGGCTCTCACTGACAGCTGGTTATCAAGGCCCGTGCCACTCAGCATGACATGAGTGTTTATTTTGTTTAGCAGAACAAAAGCTAACACGAGTAACAACTCAAAATAACCACGACTGTCTATTTAAGCAGAGCAATAATGAGTTTCCTGATAGTGTTTCACGCATGACGCCGAATTTGCCGTGCTGAAAATTAAGTTTAAACTGGCTTGCAGGCTACGTTAGCATTAGGCTAAAGACGTGGGATTAGCTAACTTATCTTGACATTCACTCGTAATATCCTCCCTGACGTTAGCCAGCTAGCTAATGATGTTCAATGCAACCTCGTCGAGCTGGCAAAGAGGTGGAAAACGTGATTAACGTGAACGCTATTACCAGAATAATGTGTTGAGTGTCAGAGCGACAGTGATGCTGTACAACGGCCTCTCCCAGACCAGCAGCCTCTGCACCCACAGAAGTAGGGGCTCATACTGCGATAGCCAACCCTGAAGCCGCTCCCGCAGGCGAACGAGATCCGGGTTTGCGTCCCCGCAGGCCTGCTCCGACGTCCCTGCAGGGAACAGAGACTCGAGGCCGACCGAAGACGAGGTAACAGAGGGGCGTCTTCTTGCCTCCTCTTCGCTCGCCATGTTTCCCCCACTTTGTTATGTTGTTTTGGGTATCACGGGGTATATGGAAAGATCAACGTCAAGCGTGGTAAACTTAAAAAAAAGAAGCTTCCCGTTGTGACTTTCAAAATAAAACATATCGCCTGTTGCAACCATAGACTATATAAAAAGGTTGCAACCAGGATGCAACGACAGGTAGCGACAAGTAAGTTACACAATATTTGGTGAATGATAGTACGTTTGGAAAAATGTACTCACAAATAGCCTATTGGAACGACCAATGTGAAACTATACACACCCAAAAAGTACAAAAATACATATGCATATATTCATCAGAATCAGATTTATTTGCCAGGTATATGTACACATATGAGGAATTTAACTCACTTTAACTCAGCTTACTTATACAATAATACAATAACACAATAACACAATAATACAGTAAAAAAATCTAACACAGGCTTCAGTATAGAGAATACATACACACTATAAACAAAACAGAAAGATTGAATAGTGCAATAGTGCAATGAGCAGAGTGCAAAGGATGCAGGATTAAATTATTATTACCATTATTGTTGTTATTATTATGTACATGGTGGAGGTGGATGCGATATACAGGTGCACATACACATACAAGCATACATGTACACAGTGTGATGAGTGCAAAGAATGCTGGAATATTATGTGCAGTGTTATGTACATGAGGTAAGTGGATTTGGTATATGGTATATACAATATACAATATGACAAAAGTAACAGTAAGAACAGCTCTTTATAGTTAAGTTAATCTAAGTTTGCAGACTCTAAATATAAAACCGGATGTGTTTTCAGATAACTTCATATTTAATATAGTGATTTATAATTTTTAAATTTGATTACATATATTTTATGGATTTTATGTCAGGTAAGCTTATTTTACTTGGAAGGCAATCTCAACTTCCGGCCTCATCCTTAATAATTTCTGGCAACTTGATGTACCAATGACACAGATGGCGGACGGATCACAAGGCCCGTCACGGATGTGAAAAAAAATACAGTCACGTGTTTCCTTGTTTACCGTATAGGGGTTAAAGCCCAAGCGTACCACCGTGTGGTTAGAGGAAAGTGCTGCATGCATTAAATGTTGCATAAGCTCTCTTTCCAACATGACCAACCTCCCACCACCAGTGCTGCTTCTACTACTCCAACTACTATAACTGATCATCTATACCGTGTATATTTTGATGGGACTATAGCCTATGTGTGTTACATTTTTATTCTTATTTTGTAAACTCTTCTGTAGAAGCACAAGTCAGCCATAGTCCACTTACTGCATTTCTCCAAGAAATGTACACACACAAGCCAGTTTGATACAAATGTTTAATTCAGAGGTATATAGCATTGAGTAAACATATATTGATCAATTTGATCAAATTCAGCCAATATGGACATTTTTCTAGAGACCTAGAAGGTCAGCTCACTCTGTCCATTATTGCTTCTTGAAGACAGCACATAGATTGGGGAATACATGTTAATGTAAACAGCAGCACACCCAAGGATTTTTCCTTCCACTTGTGATCCCTCACTTCAGTCACATGTTGATTCCTGAAAGACATAAACAAAAATTACTATCATTCCACTCAGCCACTATCATGAGTATCCTCAAAAACACATGGATTGCCTGTGTTTGCAAAGCATCAGTCAAGCAGCCGGTGCTGTGTGAGTGAGAGCACGTGCATGTCTGTGTGTTTGTGTGTGAGATTTGGTCACTTGCACATAACAATGGAGCGAATCTAAGCAATCGAAAGCAGGGTTAGGTTTTTTTAAATTTTATTATTGCGCTGAGAAACACAGGAAAAGCTGATTGTGGGGTCAAGGTCTCTGGATACTGGTGACCAGACAACAGCGTAGGAGGGGGTTGTAGGTGGGATGGACTCCAGAGCCTACCTGGCTGGGTACAAGGCCAGGACTCAAGCCTACACAGTTGGTAAAGGAAGGAAGGGGATGCTCTGTCCCTTGGTGCTAGGACAAAAGGGCGTCAATACCTGCAGGTGTTAAGACCATAGCCTGCAGCAGGTCAGACAGAGAGATGATGCCCTTCACCATGTCAGCCCTGTCCACCAGGACCAGCCGATGGACCTGGGATAAGAAGAAAAATTATATTATATATATTATCCTGTATTTCTCTTGATTTATAACTTGATTTTTTGAACTCTTGAAGAGACCAAACTGTTTCAAACTAAATATCTACCTCAGCTTTGACTATACGGTCGATGATGGTTTCCAAGGTTTCGTCAGGGTAGCACTTGATTACTCCCTCAGCAAAACATCTGCGCCTGTGAATGGCCTCCTGCATAGTCATGTCCAGATTGTTGTAAGTCTTTTGGGCTGCTAGATTCTGCCGTGGAGCAAACACAGATACCCCAGTGTCCGAGCAGGTGTCAGCGAAAAAAACGGCACAAGACATTCAATTTCTTGAATGAAATCTTGCTTATATGTGGTACTTACAATCACATCAAATCTTGAATAGAGTGCCACCACTTTGCCTGTGAAAACAAATTGTTGGATGCTGTAATATAGAGTTTGGATCCTTTCTTCAATGCATTTCCACCATACTACTACTACAACTACACCAGTACTACTAAGTACAACATTATGAAATCAAATTAAAGTATACCATGTTTATCCACCACTGGTAGGGCAGACACCCGCCTTTCCACAAAAACGGAGAGGGCATCATAAAGTGTAGCTGTTTGCTGAATAGTGGCGATGTTACTGAAAGTTCCGATCCCAAGATCCTGGATCTGCCTTCGAACGAATGCAGGCGTGGGAACTTTTTCCCCCTGAAGACACCCAAACAACACGGTAGAAGAACACTGAGTCCTTTATTCATGGTAAGGTTATGACAAACATAAACATCAGATATAAATAGAAGTAAATCACATGCTTAACATGCTTGAGTTAAAGATTGCTCACAAATATATGGAGGAACTTGAGGATTCTTTTGTGGGTCAGAATGTGCAAGACATTTCCAGACTCTGGGTCGATGACTGGCAGCCTGTGGATCTTATATTTAAGTAACGAATAGATGGCTTCAAAGAGCCTAAGAGGAAAGAGTAGAAGAAACAAAAGAGGAATTCACTGCCTTTCCGGATAGACAGTTGACTGGAATGCAAACAGTTAAAAGTAGGTAATCAAAGATTACATCTGAGTTGTGCGCACTCACCTGGCCTTAGGAGAAATACTAATGAGGAAGCGATTGGAAGACTGCAAGTAGACATCTAGACAGAAGAAGAGAGAGAGCAGCTCTAAATTCATAGAGATGTGTACGCATAGATGCCATTGATCTATGTGGCGTATTTACTTTGAAATGAATCACCTCTCCATGTCTCAATCTTGTGGCTCTCCAGCTCATACATTTGAACCTTCAGAGGGAGACCCCAATGACAAGTTATGAGTCAATAATTACAGATCAAGGACAGGTCAAATCAAAAAACTGCAACCCCCTAAAATCTTCTGTTTGATGTGGGGGATGCACACTGTGTTGTACTGCCAGCATTGCGGTGGCTCATGTCTAGAATATTCTGGCTGTGCTGATCAAATAACATTGCTTAACTGCCATCTCTGGCTTCTAATAAAAACATGTGGTGCCAAATGATAATCTTTGAAATCTATGCTGTACAAGTGTGCGGAAAGTAACTCCACAAAAACGAAGCTAAACTGCAATGTATTCATGCTCACCAAAGGGGACTTGTAATAGCAGTGGAGGATGTTGATGAAATCTGTAATAGTGAGCATACCTGCAAGAGAAAAGTGTTTATGTTCTCATTATAATAATTCCCAGTGACCGATACTTCACTTTGGCTATGCAGTCAATCCTTCGTCTTACCCACAAATCTCTGTAACTTGCTGTCCCATAAAGGCGCAGCCCTCAAGCCATTTGCCACCAGTGCAAAAAAGGCCTTTTTCACCTTTGGAAGTAATAAATTCAGTCAGTGAGAGAAAACATCAATGGCGATTCAAGCTTCTGTGTATTATAGTATGTGACACTGGACACAGTCTTGTTTTTATGTTCCCATTGGAAAGCTGCAGTCTTACTTGTAGTGTGGTATCAAATATGACCAGTTTACAGCTGGTTGGAATGGCATCATAGCAGCTGTGACTTTTCATGAAATTCATGTAGACTGTGGCATCAGCCTCTGGGAGAAATCACACATTATACCACATATTACAACAGCTAATCACACTACCTGAGTACAGACCTATAGGCGAATGCATGGTTCCAAACAAGCATGGGATCCATGTGCTTGCCTGTGTACATATAACCCTACTTAATATTTACAAAGACAGATCAAAACACACATGTATGGCAATTATTAAAATAGTACCTTGCTTCTGTATTTCCTGCTTCTTTTCTGGGAATGACATCTACAATAGAGCAGGCGAAACATTCTCCATGACGTTGTCAAAATAGTTCCACAATCCACAAGTATCCTCATTTCCAATAATAGTTTAAACTCCACAAACGTGTTCCCCTAAGTTATATTCATTCCAAAAGTAACATTTCACCTGTGAGGGAGGCTCCATGATTCTGTTGTGTGTCCATGAAAAAGTTGTTTTCAAAGCTGCACGCTCAAACTGTTGGTGACTCTGCTCAGTTTGTTACCCTTTCTTACAAAGCAGTTGGGTCTATATTTGGTAACTGTCAAGTGGTATATGTCAGGAAGGGGCTCAGGGGAGGGGTAAAAGAAGAAGGCACAGGCTCAGGAGGAGGGACATTCCAGCCCAAACCAGACATCTGCTTGCCTTATCTGTAACACACATGCAACATCACCTTCCCTGTATGGTTGTTTAAATGAATGTATTTGGCTTTAAGTGATTTCCCCTGCCACTCATTTGCCACCGTTTATTGGCTGCAGCACACAAAAGGTGGAACTTCTGGCATAGAATTAACCGTTAAGACTTTTTATAAATCTGGCTTATATGATTTATCAAGGCCCATAAAGAGGGTACAATTTCTGCTAATAATATGGCATGAACTCTTTGTCTATAAAAAGTAACAAATGTCACAAAGAAATTAATTCTTTATTAGTTTTTTTTTTTTTACATTTGTACAATATTTGCATTTTACACCATGTACAAAATGTATCAACACCGTGCTTTAAAGTGTATCAAATTCAGATGCTCAGAGCAATTTGTCAAAAGGTTTAATCACAAAGTAAATGTCCTGGGGACTGTGTGTGACTGTGTACATAAAAAGTGATCCATTCTGTAAATTATTTTAATGCTGTATGTGCAAGTCACTTGACAATGCTGTAATGGTGGAGTGAAATGTCCTTTAGCAATGAAAATGGAGCCAGATGTGCAAATTCCAGACCGCATCAACAAAGAAGCACTGCCGTTTGCCTTTAACATGTCACATTCAAAATGTTCACTTTACAAACACCAACCAAAATATCATGAAACCCCTTATTTTTATACAGGCCTTCTTCTCCTTGGAGAATTGGAAAACATATAGGTTAATCTCTTAAATTTGGCTACCCTGTTATAGAAAAATGACTTTGATGTTTTATGTTACATACAATCCAGCGATTTTTCACAAGATTTTTCTAGAAAAGGACCAGATAACAGAAGTTGATGTTTGTGATTTCTGTGGTCAGTGACAGTTGAGGTATGGAGACAGAGTCTGCATACAAACAGTCTCATTTCTTCGATGCTTTCTCCTGAATAAAAAAGGGGAAAGTTTACAAGAACAGGAGACAATTTATTTCACAAACAGTAACAAAAACTCTCTGGTGTACAAAATCAGTGCTTGCTGTATGTGTATGGCCAATATCTGGTATAAAGCTCCTTATACACAAATGAAAAATATATGTAACACTAAGCAAATATGAATAAGCCAAAATTTTGAAGCCAACTGGTTTAGTCCCTTCTATTCACAGAGCGCAATCATAACTAAAAAAAAAAAAAAAAAAAACTTACTGTGAAACCTTCAGATATGCTGTGAAACCTCCACATACAGGCAAACCTACCAAGTAGCAAGCAGCTGTGATAAAATAACTCCAAACACAATCCTTAAACGGGTCTTGCATCACCATCTGATAGGACTTTCAAACAAATATAAATGTGGGAAGCAGTATAAATGTTTGGTTGAAGCCAAGAAAACAAACACATCAAATTATCTTCAAATTCCTTGTGAACTTCTCTGCATTGTAAATCAAGTTACGGAGCATTAACTGAACACTATGGCATTTTACTCTGGGCAAATGTGTTCTGCATTAGTGAACTATCGGTGACCTCACACCTATCAAACTCTCACCACGCCTGAAAAGCGCCTAATTACTCTTGCCTTTGCACTTTTATTCTGGATCCGGAAAAGTAAACAAACAAACAAACAAAAATAAAAATATGACTTGAAGTGGTAGATGAGTCATGAAGACAATGCTGGTTTCATTTCCAGAGTCCATTACTACAGGCTGACAGGACACGGGTTTGCCGGTCTCTAGCCGGGCATGAGCAGAGCTTGGGCTTTGTCAACAGGTAACATGGACTTTGGTTGGCAGGGTCCCAACTGCACAGGGGGAAACACCCCTAGGCGAGAGTTCAGACTTGGTTCCACCCCTCCAAGGAGGCTGGGGGCCAGCCATGGTGAATGACGCTGATTGTTATCAAGGGAGCCATGAGTGAAGACTGTTGAGGTGTTTCTGAGCCCGCACTGAAGAGGAGGGAGGGATGCAAGACAGCCAGGACAGAAGAAGGAGGCAGGAGACCAGGTTTGGGGATCTTCCATCTCAGAATTTGTTTCAGGGTGTATGTGACCCATTGAGGCAAGGAGGGAGCCCCAGAGACACAATATTGATGTCTGTGAGGAAGCCGATGGGGGATTTTGTGAGTGGTGCTGGCCGATTCCAAGTGTACCCGTCTGATGGTTCAGACTCTTGTTGGCCAGAACAAAACAGGGGAGGGCTGCAGACGGAGCTTCTGAGTTCAGGTCGGAGGTCGGAAGGTGGTCTGGGCTAATCTCAGCTGGAGGTGGAAGCAGGCAGTGGCCGCTTCTGGAGAGACTGAGCTGGTGCAGCACAGCGCTGGTGGCAATAAGGCCAGCCACACTGGTCAGATAGACAAGGCCGAGCATACAGGATACCTGGAAATAAAATTAGTTCAAAACTGATGACCAAATCTAATACCTTAACAATTCTAATAACTAATTCCTCTTTTAGAATTTTGACTTTATTGTTGTTAAAATGTTTGTTATACAAGTTATAAACATAGAACAAAAACAAGACATAAAAAAAAAAAACAAAAAAAAAAGAATACACCCGACATATCCCGAGCATATAAATATTCTTTCAGCTCCATTCAACTCAAACCCACTTCTCACCTTGGTAAAGTGCTGGTAGATGGCTGTGAGGGCTTGACTCCACGCTGACTGCTCCAGCAGCACACAGAGGTCGGTGTAGGTGAACCAGCCACGTTTCATCCCCTGTCGCTCTGCAATGCTGGGGATATAGAGCCAGAAATACTTTTTCACACAAAGTGGTAGTGGAAGTAATGTAAGTGGGCTTGGCTGACTCTTGAAAAGACATTTTTAGGGATGAATATTTCTTACAGACACTGTATTTTGGTCTAGTGCAATTTGAACATAGCGGACCACCAACCTGGTTTCCAGTTGACTTAGTATATCAAATAAGTCATTTGGCTCTGTGAAGAGGCTCCACTCCTAGAAAATAGGACACAAGGATTAGGACAAAGAACTTGAACCAAACATGCATGTAAGCACATATGACATGCAATGCACACACACTTACAATGGCGTTCAAGAAGTTCATCTCCAGGTTGTTGACAGTTTTCACGTCCAGCTTTCCAGCTGCTCCCCACTCATCATTGAAAACTTCTTCTTCCTCGCCTTCATCATACAGGTACTTGCTGGCAACCATCTAATGTGAGCGAGAGATCGGTGCGTTTGTCAGTGCAATGTTATACTAGTTTTATGAATCACAGAAAACAGCAGTATAGGCCAACATACTAGAAATAGCACTGACATTTAGAATGACATTTGAACTCAACACACATACCATGGAGATCAGGAAGAGGTCAGAGGAAGAGATCTTTTGTAGGTACTCAGGATTTCTATGTCGGAGCCTTTCTATGTAAACTAGAGCCAGCATCATGGCACATGGAGAGATGCAAGCCTCCCTGAAGCAAGACATAGATAAGTGTTTAGATGTATGGCTGGTAGTGGTACATGCAGTTCCTGTAAGAAGGTATAATCTACGCATACCTGGAAACATGAGCAGCATACTTCTTCTGTAGTTTTCGTATTGGGCTTGGGGCAGACTTCTGGAAAATTTCGACAGCAATATCTGGAAGTACAGAGATTAAAAAGACAAAAGTCAACTCATGTGATTTCATCTACTTGTTTTTAAATTTATCAGAATCTGATTCAGTTTTATTGCCAAGTAGGTTTACACATACAAGGACTTAGGTAGGTATATAATAGGTAGAAAAATATAAGAAAGATAAACATAGAGTAAGAGCTTCTTCTTCTGTATATGTAACATGTAAGTTTCATACTGGCACAACATTTTTAATACAACACAAAAATAATCTTATCCAAGAAGATTGTACATCAAGTATTTGTTATGAAGGTGTGCCGGGGAGGAGCGTATATCTTTCTACTAACCTAATTTAAACGTTAACTTACCCGTAACAGGACAAGAAAGGGCATCTAGAGAAACGTCTTTGTCCAGGCCATAATACAGTCGCTTTCTCACTCGTTCAGTCAACTTCTGGTGTCCAGGAAGAAACTGTAAAAACACTAACATTAGCTAGCTATAACTTAGTAGTTTTGGGGAACTATGTTAGCTGGGTTAGCTAACGTTAACTTAAGTTGAACAGCAATAAGTATAAAACACAGTTACCTATAAATCCTTAGCACTGACTTTATTTACATGCACATAGAAAATGCTTCCATCAACACTAACATTTGTTTATCGTTTACAGCAACCGTGTTACCCATATACAACGTTAGCTAAGCTAACGTTAGGCCTGTAACTGCCCAACGGAGAGCGAGCGTAAAATGAGTGATAATCTACTAACGTTAGCGTTAGCTAACTAGCTATATGAGCTAGCGTTACTCATGATAAAGTTTCTTTAATTTATACATTTTAAACGACACACAGTCGTACGGGTAACTTGGCTAGATCGTAGCTACGTAATGCCACCGACCAGCATATTCAGACAAGGGATCCGATTTTAACGTCAGTAAACTTAGCTAACGCGCCTAGCTTCCGTACTTTGTTGACCAAGTGTGGTCTTTGCGTAAGTTAGACTGTATATAAAAAGCTCAACAACATACCGTGAACTCCTGGAAGTCCGAAAACTGAAAAGTCTTCTCGTTAAACAGAGCGTCGAAATCCATATCTACTATAGATTAAACATTAGTCTGCCGAACGTTGAAAAGACGACTGCTTGGCCTGGCCCCCGCCTTAGCTCAGCTAGCAACACAACCTGACCGGGGACAGTCAGTGACGACCGAAGCCTCCAGCTGTTTATCCACACAAATACAGATGCTGCTGGGGCCGGGAGGGGCCGCGCTGTACAGCAGTTACAATTGGCCAAATGATGTATTAATGTTTTCACGTACTGATCATGTTTCTTAGCAGGATCAAATGTTTTATTGATGAAGGACATCAGATGCTGTTACGATGATGAAATCTGAGCAACATCAGAAGTGAATACCGGTTAAATATTAATAGGGAGAATGTATTTCCCTAGTGAAACAAAACATGTACTGACACGTGCTGCTAACATTTTTCACTCATCCATGAACTTAATAATTTGATACCATACATTAAACTATTTTGTTGGGCATTATGAAACACCATTAGAAAATAACTGAACAGGGGAGCATTCAAAAGCTTATCAAAAATAGAAACTGTTAACCCAGCTGTGAATCACAGTTAACCACAAATTCATAACTGTCATTGACATCAAGCTGTTACAGCACACACAAATACAATACGGTAAGTTCACCTATTGGTATTGCATCATAGCTGGCCTCAATTATTATGGATGTAAAGACTCAATAAAAATCCAGAACTAAGTAATGGAAAATGGACATATAATTTAGTTGGGACATAGGTTAAGTTAGTTTAGGAATGACTCATGTCCCTACCAGTAATATCCAACAACTACTGAATTGTCCTTAGCAATCATTTTAATCAAAACAATTAAATTCAAATTTGCAGCGTTAACAGGGTGTTTTATGTCACCTTAAGAAATTCATACTCCAAATTTGCTTTTTTTCTCTGGTAATTAGCTAAAAAAAACTGTAGTGTTTTAAAATCAAATAAATGGAATAAGGATATATTTTAAATCTGAAAATTGATTTTACAGATTGGAACAAAAGTATTTTATTTTAGTCCAAGACGAAACTAAATATTTACAACAGGTAATAATCATCAACAGTACCTTTTGTGATTGTAAAAAAAATATATAATTCCTCTTGAGAAATTGTGTATGACTGTATATATTTATATATTATTATGATAATGGTGGGTATGAATTCTGCATGTTCCATTGAATTTGATGGCATATCTTTTTCAAGGCAGACTTGTTAATGCAGCAAAAGCACATATCTAACTGATAACTTGGTTCCAATATATTCAGGTAGCAAGTCAAAATGTCTGCCATGAGAAAGGTATATTGTCTTTAACTGCCAACAACAGGCAGACATGGATTTTGCAACTTTATGTGTACATCAGCCAATCTAAAAATCTTTTGCCTTAAGTATTCATTAATCCTTAACAATTTAGAAGACACAATAATCAGATGAGCAAACACACTCCGGTTTATCTTAACAAACAAAAGTATACAGTCTTACACATTTAAAAAACAACAACTTACACTTAATAAAAATAACTAATAACAGCAGAGCTCACAATGTAAAAAATAAAATAAAGATGACTATAATCTCTGACAACATGTATACAAACCCAGTGTCATTTATATACTATTCAGCAGGAAACACAATCATTAGCCCCTCAATTCAACAAGATGCAGTTCTGAGGTGATAAGTGCTTTTTATAACCTGATTTCTTGCAACTCTTCCTTCTGTATCTTTAAATAATGTGTCAACAATTCTAAAAATAAATAACATTTTCATCTTGCTGAGTGTTGTATCATGTTAAAATCATCCATCAACTTTTTACAATTAGGAGGGGAATCAAAATGTAGAGTTCTTTTTTTTAGAAAAAACAAACAAAAAAATACATTCAGTGGTGGTACCCTGAAGAGGTTGATGGTGGCTGCAGTTTCTCAGACTTGCAGTCTTTGGCTTCTGTTTCTGAGGAGGAATCAGAATCCTGGATCTGCTGTTGGTTCATCCACATATCTGCATACAAGCCTCCCTTGAGCAGCAATTCATCATGTCTTGGATGGAGAGAAAGTGAGTCACTTGGAGTTCAATGAAAAAGGGAATGTACTATATGGTTGTCAGTGTGACATTGAGAACAATAAGTAAATGAGGGACACTTACTGTCCTTGTTCAGCAATCCGGCCATTACTTATAACCAGAATCTGGTCTGCTCCGATTATGGTGGACAACCTTTTATGTAAAAAAAAAAAAAAAAAAAAAAAAGAGAGAAAGAGATTCACACATCTCATTAGATACAACCATTGGTTTCCTAAAACAAAGAACATTTCAAAAACTAAAAATCTACATTATGAGCATCTCTTACCTGTGAGCAACAACAACTGTTGTACGATTGGCACAGATTTTAGCCAGTGAGGCCTGGATGTTGCGTTCTGTCTGCGTGTCTAGTGCAGATGTGGCCTGTAGAGGAAATAAGAGCAAAAACTTTAGTTTCTGTTTTCAGTCTGCTTGGCCACTCAGATATCATTGCTACTTTTTGCAATCTCACCTCATCCAGCAGGATGATCTGTGGTGCTTTGAGGATAGTTCTGGCAATAGCCACCCTTTGCTTCTCTCCTCCACTCAGCTTCAGACCTCTTTCACCCACCTGCGTATCGTAACCTGCCAGGGAAAAATACAGGTAGGTGGTAAAACCAGCGATCTTACAGTTACTCTGTGGCAGTCAGACGAACACTCATCACATTACTTTAAATGTCTACGATATACTAGACCAATCAGTAAAAAAAACAAAAAAACAAAACACAAATAACTCTATAAACTTTGAGAACACAGGAGTGTTAATCTATAGGTTACCTTCAGGGAAGGTCATGATTTTATCATGGATATCAGCAGCTACAGCAGCCTCCTCCACCTCCTGGTCAGTAGCAGAGATGCGGCCGTAGCGAATGTTATCCCGGATGGTGTCGTTGAAAAGCACAGTATCCTGGGGAACCACGCCGACATGAGCTCGCAGAGATTCCTGCTTTACCTGAGAAAAAACCATGAAGACACAGTAATTACTAGTCCAGAGTATGCCCGTAAACACACACAGTCACATACAGCGATATTAAAGACATTGTAACTGGTGCTTTCATTGTTCTTGGTAATCTGAAGAGCAAAACAACAAGGGGCTAATTTATGTTTATAGCAGTTAGAACATGAAATAATGTCCAGTGTCTTATAATACATATGAGAGCTTTATAAAGTTGTAATGTTACATTTAATTGAATCAGTGTATCCCAGAGGCATTGCTTGAACTCTAAAATATTTTTGAGGCAATTGTTCATAATGATGTTGAACCAACCAGAGAGCTACCGTAAATTACAAACACGAAGGTACAATTTATTACACAGATAATGTATTGGATGTATTCATGTTCACCTCCAGTTTAAACATACTGTGTCAATATGTAACGTTACTGGGCTTTGATTACTCTATGCTAAACTGTACTTGGAAATGTGTTCTGGTGACAAAAATGTACTTTTGATATATCCTGGCCATCAATGCTGATGCTGCCTCCCTGAACGTCATAGAAACGGAAGAGGAGTCGAATGATGGTGCTCTTCCCGGCGCCCGATGGTCCCACCTGGGGGCGGGGGGATTAACAGATTATATTATAATTGTACAGTCCTAACAGATGGCAGGCAGTTTAACTGTGTGAACGAGTAGAGAATTGCTCCTTAGATTCACCAGGGCAACTGTCTGTCCTGGAAGTACAGTGAAGGAAACATCCCGGAGAATCTCCTTCCTGTAAAACAGTAAAGAAATCTAAGAATGGAGTATTGTAAAATAAAACTTATTTCTCTACACGTTGGCTTACATCAACTTTAAGCAATGTTAGTTCTAATCAGGCATCTAAATCCAATGTGAACCAACCCATTTGCATAGCTGAAGTAAACATTCTCAAACTCCACTTTTCCCTGTTTGTAGAGGAAATTCCCAGCATTTACTTCATCTTTCACCTGCACAAGTGAACAAATATAGAGAATGTAAAATATAGATTATACTTATGAATGATGATTATAAAGTGAAAACACAGTCCAATCATTTGCCAGTTTCCAAAGTACCTCTTGCTCTTCTTCAAAAAGTTTGAACATGCTTTCCATGTCAATGAAAGATTTCTGGATCATTCTGCGGGGAAAAAATGAACAGGTAAGAACATTTAAGGCAGATGGATGCATTTCTAAGCTGTTTCTGCCTCTTCTTACCTGTAGTAGGTTCCAAACCAGTTGAGGGGGGTGTACAACTGGATGATGTAGGTACCAAAGAGAACAAAATCTCCAACCTATGATAAGAGGATTTTTTTTTTATCAGTCATACTGAATGGATCAATACATATTAGCATTGTTATTCTTCATATTGTTATCAGTTAAACATATAATACATTTGAGCTTATTTCAAGACAGGGCAAGGCAAGTCATTTTAGAAGTGTTCGTTTACAACAGGTGGTTCTAGTAGAGATTGGAGAACAGAATAATATAAGCAACATAAGCAAATTCAAAGAAACATTTTGGATTAATAATGACGTCGATAAATGGCAATTTCAGTATCATAAAAGATATGATGTAATCAGTACCATAAACTTTCCTTCAGTCACAAAGTAGGCACAGAGTAGGGAACCGGCCAGCAGGCCTGATCCGATGATGAGGTTCTGCGTTTGGTTGAGCAAGGCCAGGGACGCCTGGGTCTTCCACTCCGACACCTAAAAACAGGAGGAGTAAAGAACCGTTGCCTGCATGCTTGTATAGGCTGGTAACATATTTTAATACACATTTTATCAGCCTCCACATACAACTACTGACATGTAACAATAGGAGAGAGCAATATTGGAAACCACAACAGAAGACTAGTTCCTTCACTACTGCTTTTATAAATGCAGATTTGATGCTACCAAAATTATCTTCTAGTTTTAAACAATAACGCCCTGTACAGGTTTTCATGATCTGCTTGATGTAGACCAGATGTTCTTCAATTCAGCTTCCAAATTGTTCTTAGCTCCACTAAATTTTGTATTTTCTAAGCACTGCATTATAGCACAAAAAACAACTAGATAATACTGGGCATTAACACACACACACACACACACACATATATATATAATCTTCTATTAATCTTCTATTATGACTATACT